TTATATGCATTCTTTATTGTGGTGTAACAGTGATCCCGCAGCGTGTTTTGCTCATGACATTAGGATATTACCACAACATTACTCTTTGGACATAGCAAACAATTTTTTATGAATATTACTTAACCTGATGGAGGACACGCTCAGTCATTCAGGCAGTCTCTCTCTCTCTCTCTCTCTCTCTCTCGTGCGAGCTGTTAGGCATGTTTTGTGCCGTTGATCGCCCTCGTCGTTGTCTTCTTCAATAAATAAAAAATGTCTTCATGCTAGGGTGTCGGCGATGAATCTAGTGGAGAGAAATCCCCCCACAACTAACTGCAAACTGGCATTCAGATCTGCCTCCATTTTGTTAGCAACGCCCCAACTTCCAGTGATCCAATCAATTCCCGAAGGATGGAATCAAGCCCCGCCCTCTCATTTCAGATGCCGTTTCACTCGGCTAGACATCACAGTAGAGAAAAAAAGAAAACCGCTACTTCTGTTTCATGCCGACTTTAAATAGGGCTGTGTTCCTTGCTGATTGATACATGTATCGAAACGGATGCTTCTGTATTGGTACAGCAGCAAATGCCGTGACGCAGTTTTGAAAAAGAAACAGAACAGAAAAGACCATTTTAAGTTTAAAAGTTAAATATTTTTTTCTTTGCACCTCTTAATTACTCTGGAATTAGAAACTGAATTATATTACTCATATTATTATTATTATTTTGCTGTTGTAAACACTACTGTTGCAGAAAAAAATATTTCTGTCTTATTTAAAGTAGAATTCTATTCAAATTCTGTTCTGAATGTATTCATTTTTTGAATGATAATGATAATAAAAACAGTGTTGAAAAGTATAATTTGGAGGATTAGAAAATCCGTATAAGCCTGTTTTACCAGTGTTGTGATAATTATTTTAATGCACTCTACGTCTTTTAAATAAATACTGTAATAATAATAGTTCAAAGTATGAATAATTTTTAGTCCGATATCATAAAAAAAGACCCCTCTACGTCCTTTAAACTTTTCCCAATCAAACGGTAAGAATGAGAAAGAGAACAGGCACCTTTGTTTATATTGCTGTGTGTAGAACTACGTTAGCTGCATTTTTAATATTTAATAAATACGCCATTTAATTTTAACAAAATGTAAATTCGTCTCCCGCACTTTATTCGGGCAGGTGTGTTCACGTAGAGGTTTCTAGATTTAAATTCAAAGAGACAGCATCGATAGTCTTTGCATGACCTGACGTTTTATTCGTTTCCAAAATGAGGAGATGTGAATATCAGGAGCGCTGAACACTCATACAGTGCATGTTTTCATTCATACTCGAAGCCAACCTCAGGCTTCTGGAGGGGATGAAGATTCGTAAGAGTGACTGGAAGTTGGAGGGCGCTGAGCCTGTGGCTGTTCTATATGCAAGCATCAATGTCTTGAACTTGCTGTGAGCTGCAACCGGTAGCCATTGCAGGGAGATAAAGAGAAGTGTGACGTGGGCCCTTTTGGGCTCGTTGAAGACCAGTCGTGCCTCTGCATTCTGAATCATTTGTAGAGATTTGATTGTACATGATGGAAGTCCTGCCAAGAAATAACAAAGGCCTGGACAAGAGGTTGTGCAGCATGCTCTGTTAGAAAGGGTCTGATCACGCTGTACATTTGGAGTGGCAGGTTGAGCTGCAGGTGATGTTCTTTTATCCATGCCGAAATGTCCACCGCAGGCAGCCCGAGATCCATGCAACTGTTGGGTCATCTGGTTGAAATGAAAGATAGAGCTGTATGTCACTATTAGTCGACTAGAAAAATCTTTAGTCGGGGGCAGCCCTACGGAGAAGTGGCATTCCAGAGGGTGTACAGGAGGATCTGATGATTCAGTGTCAAAAGCATCAGATAGATCCAGCAGAATGAGAAATGCACCACTCCATAGTTTTTGCTATGGTACCAAAAATCAGGAAATTTTACTGGTGTTAGTGCCGACTACTGAAATTTTGGTACTGAATAAAATGTTTAAACACTGATTTTGAATCGTCCGTGACCGACAGTAATGCAGTCTCGGTTGAATGGCCACTTCTGAAACCTGACTGGTTAACCTCCAGTTGGTTATTCTGTTAAAGAAATAATGACATCTGGTTGAAAACAACTTGTTCAAGTGTTCACTATTAATGGAAGGAGTGAAGTGTTTAATGTAGGTTGTTTGAGCAGTGGGGTTACCCCGAGGCTGCTTGAATGCGGTGGGGAAAATGCCTGTTTGAAGAGATGTGTTGTTGATATGTGTGTGTGCTGGTAAAAGTGTAGGGGTAGGTGTGAGGGGATTGGGTTTAGAGGATAGGTTGTAGGATGGCTGGAAAGGAGAAGTTTCGATACCTCTGCCTCAGTGAGGAAACGGGAGTTTTAGCAGAGGATGTGGTTGGTTTGAGTTCCTGTGTGCGTGGAGCTGAGAACTGACTGCTGATGGTTTTAGGGATGACAATGTCGAGTTGCACTAAACGGTTTAAACTTACAATCTTAAACTTACATTACATTTCTGAAACTTGCATTACGCATCAGGCTTGTTCAAGTCCTTGTTAGTACAAATGCATGCGCATAGTAACAGCATTTCATTCGTCAGACTGGTAATCCTCAGAAAACTTTGACAGCTTTAAACAGGCTCAATCAGTTCTTTTTGAATCAGACATGACCAAAATGCTGACTTTTGACTCTGCCTGTTGGTTTATAAACTTATAAGAGCCACTAGTGTATAACTTGTTCATTTCCAAGCTGAACACGCAGTGCTGTTTGGGTTTTTTGTTCTTTTACGGCAGGGGAAGAGGAGGGATACAGATGTAGAGAAAGTAGAAGAGAAAGTTTCTGATCCAAGTTATCAGTAGATGGCAGTAATGCAGTAAAAAGGAAGAAGTGGGTCTCTGGCTCGTGGCAGGCACACTGGGTCACAATGCAGGCATAGTGTTGTCATTGATAAATTGATGAAATCAGATTTCTTCAAATGTCACTCAAAACACTTCTAATGAAGAAATATAATTGCAACTGAAAAACAAATGTTACTAATAAGTTGTTTTAGTAACATCACATAAAATACACAGAAACAAATATCTGTGGGTTTAAACATTTTATTCAGTACCAAAATTTCAGTAGTCGGCACTAACACCAGTAAAATGTCCAGATTTTTGGTACCATAGCAAAAACTATGGAGTGGTGCAGGGATGACGTCAAAAGGGAAGACTAATTCACCATCCCTCAAGATTTTCCTATGGGGTTTTTCAATTTATAAGCATTGTATTTATTGTAATAAGTAACTACATAAGAACATTTGGGGTGTGAGTGTGTGCAGTTTGTTGTAGAACAAAACATAAATTTATTGTCAAATTATTATTACCACAGACCTTATTTTACTCATAAATTGAAAAACCCCATAGGAAAACCTAGAGGGAACCCATAGCAAATTAGTCCTCCAGGTTTTGACATAATCCCTGCACCACTTCACCAGAACTATATTTAACTATATTATTAAACTATTTGAAAGAAAAAGATATATATATATATATATAAATTAAATGATCTAATTATTAATGATAATAATAATAATTATAAGTACATAAGATATTGAAACAGCATGTAGCCTTCAAATATTTGTAAATTCCTTTAAAAAAGTTAAGTGAAAAACAAGTAATATAATAAAGAACAAGGTAACACATTACATAAAACAAGTGGCAAGTCTATTAGGGTGCTTTCGCACTTGGTTCGATTGCCTGGTCCGAATTCGATTGTGTTCACACGGTCATTTGTGGTTCCGAACCACGGAACATTTGCATCAGAGTCACAGCCGTTTGCCCCTGTTGCTAGGTAACGACTATGCAGAAGATGGCAAAATGAATGGACGCTTCATTTTAGTACTACGGATTTTGAAAATTTAGATTAGTCTCAAAAGTGCCAAGACAGAACGGCACATGCGTCCGTTTGTCACGAATGTAATGCAAAGGGTTCAAAAGAACGCGGGAATCAATTTCTTCACCAAAAAATAAAATATAAATTCTCTCTGCTCACAGCAAGTCAGTCAGGCTTATGAGGAAAGCAAGTGAGTTAACACACAAATACACAGTTTGACCAATTCATACGTTATAAATAGCGGCTCACTTCAGTGACCTAGTACAATTGCATTCACATCAGATGCGAACCGTACCAGAGTTTGCATGAACCATACCCTAGAGCATCCTTTTTAGGCGGACTCGGGTACAGTTTGCGAGTACACACTTGAGTTCAGTAAACAGTGTTCACATTAGGGCTGCACGATTAATCGAATGCGATTGTCATGCGCATTTTGTTAGTAATGCTGGTTCTGTAATCAGCAGTAAATCATCATCACGTGCTTTCAGATGGAGCAGCATTTACTACACAGAGCCGTAGTTCACTGACAAGTTACGCAAAAAAAAAAAATTGCAGACGATTTTATTGCGCGATTCTAAAATCGAAGAAATCGTTCGCGATAATGACTGCATCTGTTTGCATAGCTTCTCGGTGAACTACGGCTCTGTGAAGTAAATGCTGCTCCGTCTGAAAGCATGTGAAAATACCACATTTAATAACATATTTTTACTCCAAACTCACTTCATAACGTCAGTCGAGTGTTTGAAATAAATCCTTCTGTGAGATGTGGCTTCTTACACAGAATAAGGCATGCAACATATTTCATAGTATTTAAGCAGTGATAAAAGCATTGCATTATAAATATACTTTATTTTAATGAAAATTATAATAATAAATACTCTGATAAACTGTATATTGCCATAGTCGTGTGTTTATTAGTCACGTTGAATCAATGAAAGCAGTTGAATCTTCTGTTTATTCAGCTGCAGCGATAGGCATTTTCTGGGTTTCTTCTGCGAGGCATATTTGGAGTTTCAGCGCGAGAGCGCCCTCTGGCCTTTGGATGGAGATTTACTGCTGATCACAGAACAGTGCTTCACTGAAAGATACGCATGATAATCGCATCTTCTGTCGAATCGCGATCTCGATTCCATTTCGATTTATCGTGCAGCCCTAATTCACATTATCCAAAACAAAACCAAAAGTGCTAGTGTGAAAGCCCCATTAGTCTGCATTTACACTCCAAGATATGATGCACTGATCTATTTTGACATACAGTATCAGATTGTTTTGTCCCGTTCATTGCATATGGTTATCACTATGACAGTCACTGCAGTTTCAGATTCAATCTCACAAATAAATACTTTTGTCACTCCTGAAACTTTGCAGTGTGTACTTAGCGGCATGCTAAAATACATATTTTATTCAAATTGTGGATAGGTTATAAAGAGCACTACCTTTATAATCACTAAAGCTGTCAATCGCTACAGTTTTGAGCACAAGTTCATGGAGTTCTGCACTCGAAAGAAAACTCCTGTTATAATAAGTGAAGCTGCCTACACTGCACAACGAATCTCTTATTTTCATTGTCTATATACTTTATAATGAAAGGATACACGAGTGTGTGAAACAAAAACTTGAGCAATGTTAAGCAGATTCGGACTTATCTTGTGATTGGCATGTGTGTGATTGGCAAGTGCATTCACACGTTCAACAGACATGTCTGTGATTGGCTACAATTCTCAATGCTTCAAAAAACTCGTAAATAGGAACACTGGATTCTTTTCACAGAGTGCTCACACAGATACTGAATGCACAGGGGCGTTTAAAAGCAGCCGCCTATCAGTGGGTACTGAACTGACCCGGTACATTTTTAAAATGTCAGTACTGACTTGGTACTTAAGTACCAATACGTTTGACAATACTAGTCAAAACTTTGACAGTTACTTGAACCAGCTCTTTCTGGTCTTGTGTGCTGCTTTGGCTGTGCACCTTGCATCATCACCCTGGACCTAAGGTTAGAATTTGTAAACAATCTCGACCAGTTCCTCACTGCAGATTGGCTCAAAATAACAATTTCTTCAAGAATCGGACATCACAAGTATCTGGTGTCAGATCTCCCCAATGGAGTCTCTTTGAGGAACGTGTTGCCAAACCTTTTGGCCAACATCAAAAAGAGGATAAAAGTTGTCAATGGCCTGTGGGAGACCAGATTTCTTGGAGCCTGCTTGGGCATTTCCTTTAATGTTACAGTTTGGTCCCTTTGTTGGGGGGGGGGTCATAACTCTTCTATCAGACTATTCAGTTAACTGGCACAATTTTCAAATCATTACACCAGAAGAATGGGAAGACGGTGTCAGTGAAGGTGGTTGTGAATGTGTGTAGATATGTGTTAGTTACAGGATCAGAGAATGACAATGTTCCTCTGTCATAGTCCAGATCAACTCTCACCCTGTCCAGCCTCTGTTTAAAAGGAAAACCAAACCGCTCATCCAGTCCGTACTGCACCCACCAGACCTCAGTGTTAAAGAAAACAGGTCCCTTCCTTTGGTTTGATGCTGTAGTTACTCCAAGACTCCAGTACAAACTCTCTTTAACCTCTACATCCCAGCAGTGTGTTCCTGAGTTAAAACCCTCTGAACCCAGGACACAGGCATACTCGTCGAATCTCTCTGGATTATCAGGAAATGGTTGACTGGTCAAGCTCCATCTCAGCCTGGTCAGATCATCAGACAGGACGAGATGTGGATTTGCAGTGTTTGGATCCAGAATCACCGGAGCTGATGAGACACAATCAACAGCTGCTTTTATTCTGATGCTCATAATGATCAGGAGTGAACAGAACTCATTATTATGAATTCAATTCAATTCAAGTTTTTTCAATTCAAGTTTATTTGTATAGCGCTTTTCACGATACAAATCATTGCAAATCAGCTATACAGAAAATTAAAGCTAAATTATGACACTGTTGATCAAACACATCAGACATTTTTCTCTGAGCACTGTGTTGTTATAGTAAATACATCCTTAATAGATTTCAGATTTGCATCCCATGTCACTTTTACTGAAAGAGTTGTTACCTGTAGCAGAGGAACCGCTTCTCAATATTATTAACTCGTCTTTATCTTTTGATCACGTCCCAAAAACATTCAAGCTGGCGGTTATTAAGCCTCTTATTAAGAAACCACAACTAGATCCTAGTGAACTGGCAAATTACAGACTGTGACGAGTCTCCTACTCTTCCTGCTACGGCCGGCCAGTGGGTGTGGCTAGGAGCCTCATCAAGAGAACGATGTTCACCTGTTCTTCCCTCTATAAAAAAAGCTTTGGCTTTGTTGGTGTGGGTTGCTTGTTTGCTCCAGATTGTTTTGGGTTGTTTATTTGGCTTTTGTTATGAGCTGTGAGACTTGTTCTGTCTGACACTATAACATCTTGTGTCAGACAGAAATTGTAGTTATTTTTCGTTGCTTCCTTGTTTTATATATTTTTCCTTTCTTATGTTAATAAATATTTTTGTTGCAACCTTACCAACCAAACTATGTCCTCCTTCCATTTGTTACAGCTTTGAGCTGGTCGTGACGCAGACCTATTTCAAATGTTCCGTTTATGTCTAAAATTTTGAAAAAGTTGTGTCTGTTCAATTGTGCTCATTCCTGCAAAAAATATACAGTGGGTACGGAAAGTATTCAGACCCCCTTAAATTTTTCACTCTTTGTTATATTGCAGCCATTTGCTAAAATCATTTAAGTTAATTTTTTTTCCTCATTAATGTACACACAGCACCCGAAATTGACAGAAAAACACAGAATTGTTGACATTTTTGCAGATTTATTAAAAAAGAAAAACTGAAATAACACATGGTCCTAAGTATTCAGACCCTTTGCTCAGTATTTAGTAGAAGCACCCTTTTGATCGAATACAGCCATGAGTCTTTTTGGGAAAGATGCAACAAGTTTTTCACACCTGTGTTTTTCTGTCAATATGGGGTGCTGTGTGTACATTAATGAGGAAAAAAATTAACTTAAATGATTTTAGCAAATGGCTGCAATATAACAAAGAGTGAAAAATTTAAGGGGGTCTGAATACTTTCCGTACCCACTGTATATCTATGAAGAATTTCAGTCAGGTTTTAGACCCCATCATAGCACAGAAACTGCACTTGTTAAAATTACAAATGACTTCTTTTCCAAGGCTGCATCTCATTGCTAGTTTTACTTGACCTTAGTGCTGCTTTCGACACTATAGATCATGACATACTCTTAGATCAAATACAAAACTATACAGGTATTCAAGGGCAGGCTTTAAGATGGTAGATCCTACCTTTCCGATCGCTACCACTTTGTCTATTTAAATGGGGAATTATCTCAAATAAATCCAGTAAAGTATGGAGTGCCACAAGGATCTGTCCTAGGTCCTCTGCTATTTTCAATATACATGTTGCCCCTTGGTAATATTATTAGAAAATATGGGATTACTTTCCATTGTTATGCTGATGATACTCAACTATACATCTCAACAAGACCAGATGAAACTTCTAAATTATCTAAGCTAACAGAGTGTGTTAATGTAAAAGACTGGATGACCAATAATTTTCTCCTATTAAATTCGGATAAGACAGAGATATTACTTATTGGACCAAAAAACAGTACACAGAATCTCATAGATTACAATTTGCATCTAGACGGATGTACTGTTACTTCCTCTACAGTCAAAAATCTGGGTGTTATATTAGACAGCAACTTGTCTTTTGAAAATCATATTTCCCATGTTACAAATGCTACCTGTTTCTGATGCAGAAAAGCTAGTTGTAACAGCAGCTACGCTAATTTTGCATCCCGTGGTAACTAGAAATTACACAAGCTTCAGTCTGGATCCAGCCCTTACAAAGACCTGAGAGGACCGAACACCTGAGAAGAGATGATGCCGACCCCTCAGAAGACCTCAGATGATGAAAATCCTCAGACAATATACAAAACTACCAAATTTTGCTATAAGTTTGATCGCAACATATAATAATTGCTGTTAATAGTGTTCACTGTCTGTTTGATTACATAACATTTACTAACTGCTTGATTTTTACCATACATTTCTGCTATATGAACATCAATTGAGACCAGTCACCACTGATAAGCTATTACTAAATATAATGTAGAAACATTATATAATGTTTCTGTAAAGCTGCTTTGCAACGATTTGCATCGTGAAAAAAGTGCTATACAAATAAACTTGAATTGAATGTCAACAGAAACTGATATCGACAAAAACAATCTGCTGTATTACTGTAACTGTAAATATCATGTTCTCTTTTTTATGGCTCATTTTGGTGCTGTAGCTTAGCTGATTCTTCACACATAATGCTAAAATCTATAAATCTTCCCTCATACATCATTGCCAGTGTGTGTGTAAGAGCACAGATGTTCTCCAGACTCACTGTTCTGGATAATGTCCTGCATCTTCATCCAGACTCTGAAGGGCAGGTTGCCCAAGTAACGCGGCACATCAATCAAAGCTCCAGAAGGCGTCTGTGGATCCGGCTCTGATGAGATCTGGACTCTGGAAGAACATTCAGGATCAGAACTGCAGTGGCTTTGGATCAGAAGCAGAGAGAGCAGAGACAGCAGCAGATCACTCACCTTTCCATTGAGACTGGAAACTCCTGCAGAACAAACACACAGTTAATCATCAACAACTCAATCAGTCGATCAATCAATCAATCAATCAATGATCTGAAACCAGACCTTCAGAAAGCAGACGTCACTGGCTTTCATCATCTCCTCCGTGTCTTTGATTGAGTGTGAAAGAGCTGAGATGTGTCTGTTGATCTCCTCCAGCTTCTCCTTCATCATCTGCTTCTTCTGCTCCTCTTCCTCCCTCAGTGCAGAGATTGTAGCTTCTTCTTCATCTCTGAGAAACTGATGAAGCGTCTCAAACTGCTGTTTAATCTGACGCTCCGTGTGATCAGCTTGAGACTGAAATCACATCACATTCATTTCAATCATTTAAAAGACGTGACTTATTCTGCAGCAGCATGAAGAGCGAGTGAGTAAACGTGGGTTAGTTCAGTTTTAACTTTCTGAAGTACTAGTACTGTAGTAGTAGATGTTCTGTCTCTGTAGGTGAAAATACACATAAATCTCATCAGCCTCTTTTCATAAAACGACACAGTGTTAAATGGATTAAAGGCAGGAATATACTACACAACTTTTGCCCTGATTTTCCCCCAATTTACAGTCCAGAGATGTCGACACTAGTTACAAAAAGGCAAACCCATTCTGCTGATTAGTGTTGACAGATTCCACAGAAAATAGCGTAGTGTATAATGGTTGCAGATTTTATTAGCTTCAGATTATGAATGTGACAGTGACACTGAATGTGATGTGACATGACATGTGGCCAAGTATGGTAACCCATACTCTGAATTTGTGCTCTGCCTTTAACAGTGAGTTTTGAACACACACCCAGAGCAGTGGACAGTCATTTGCTGCAGTTGGGGATTCAGTGCCTTGCTAAAGGGAAGAGTATTGAAAGTGGAAGAGAGCGCTGTTCATTCACTCCCCCTACAATTCCTGCCGGTATTGAGACTTGAACCCACAACCTTCGGGACGACTCTCTTAACCATTAGGCCACTAATCCTTAGTTGTGTAATGTATGACATCCAGTTTTCCTTTGTGACTATTTAAAGTCGGTAAGTGTATGATGCCTAGCGTTTTAAAATCTGTTCAGATTTTAAAAATCTTGTAGTGTATTCCAGCCTTAAGAAGATTCATATAATATTTGGAAGCATAACAGCTGAACCAAAGACAATAGAATACCCAAGACATGTCACTCATATAGTTTTGAATGGGGGAAAAAATGCAACGTTCTATTGGACGAAGCCCCGCCTTCTGAGTAAAAGAGCCAATCGCTAATCGGTAAAGTCCTTGCATCACTGCAGCTGCCGTTAGAAGTCCTGGTTGCTATAGAAAGCATGCGCTTAACTGCGCATGCGCACTGGCTGGTCTAGCCTGAAAAATAAGCATTTTTTGACGCTATTGGGGCAAAATAAACATCATTTATGAGACAGTTGTTGTCAGATTTCATTGGTGATTTCAAATATGAAATTTAATCATAAGCTTGGCGAAAAGTTTGGGAGAATTTGATGTTTCTCCATTCAAATAGGAGCTGCACTTACACGCAAGAGAGGTGTTTCAAAGATGGCCGCAGAGTGACATGACTTGCCTTAAAGGGACTTTGGCTGGACTTAGGTTAGTCAATAAAGCATTTGTAATAATTTTCTGAATGTTAGAACTAAAACATGGAAACCATGTCTGAATGAAAATGCAGAATTTCAAATTAAACTGAATTACTGGCTGGTGGTGCTTGAGATGTCATTGGTCTTTCAGTGTTTCTGTGAAAAAAAGACTAGCAATAATTATTATTATGATAAAAACAAAGATACTTAAATGTATTTTTTAATCTATTTAACAACACTAGATTAAATTAAATAGCTTACAACAATCAAAGATCTTCTTTTTTTTTTTTACCCAGATCTTCTCTCAGGTAGATTTATATTGTCAACTGCTCATGAATATTAATCATGCTGTCTGCATTTGACAAATTATTTGCTGAAAGCAAAGAGTGTGAAAAGTGAGCACTAGCCAATGGGATTGCTGCTTGCATGTTAGTCCCACCCACTGCCGAAGCAACCAGCAATCAGAAGTTTCAGTTTCTGTATTTTTTTTTCAGTTCCTTTACATTGTATACACTTAAAGGGTTACTTCACCCTAAAATTTAAATTAGCCCATAAATTACTCACCCTCGAGTCATCCTAGGTTTATATGACTTTCTTCTTTCAGACGAATCCACTTGGAGTTATATTAAAAATTGTCTTTGATCTTTCAAGCTGTGTAATGCCACTCAGCGGGTGTTGCATGCATCAGTCCAAAAGTAGTTAAATAAAAAGCGCCCATCCATAAAAGTGTCTCACACGGCTCCGGGGGGGGGTGAACAAAGGCCTCCTGTAGCGAATCGATGCATTTTTGTAAGAAAAATATCCATATTCAAAACGTAATAATCAGTTGAATCTAGCTTGCGCCAGCAGTTGTACACAGAAGCAGCTCCGGGAGGATGACGTATGAAGTCGGCGGTGCACATGCGCCGGTGAGTCTCGTGAAAACCAACGTTTGTTAACAGGAGCAAAGGAAGCAAAGTTTCCTTACTTTAGCAAAGGAAAACCAGTCTCCTCTTGGCTTATGTCAACATCCTCTGACATTCTTCTTTACAAATCCTCATTTTGTACTTCTAATTAGTGACCGTTGTTTTGTATCTCTGCTGCGTTTCCGCGTGCGTCACTTCTGAGCGGCGCATGCGCAAAGCTGACCTCATATGACATCCGCCCGGAACTGCTTCCATGTAGGACTGTCGGCGCAAGCTACATTAAAGTGATTATGATGTTTTGAATATGGATTTTTTTCCTCACAAAAACACATCGATTCGCTACAGGAGGCCTTTGTTCACCCCCCGGAGCCGTGTGAGACACTTTTTTATGGATGTGTGCTTTTTATTTAACTTCTTTTGGACTGAAGCATGCAACACCCGCTGAGTGTCATGAAACAGCTTGAAAGATCAAAGACAGTTTTTAATATAACTCCGACTGGATTCGTCTGAAAGAAGAAAGTTAAATACACCTAGGATGACTTGAGGGTGAGTAATTTATGGGCTAATTTAAATTTTAGGGTGAAGTAACCCTTTAATATGAATTATTTTCAAAAGTGACATGTCGCCCTAGTTATAAAAGTTGCTGTGACCCTGAGAAGGCGAATATTTGATGGTTTTAATGCATATTTCTAATTGTTTTTTTTTTTTACATATTTTGAATAAATGTCCGTGTATATGTAATAATAATTTCCATCTTTATATACTATTAAACAAAAACATGCATTGAATATTTTTGTGTTCCAGTCAAAGCAAAATACAACTATGCGAGACAACCAATTCAGCTTTTCTCATCAAATTCGATTTGAAAAGAATCAATCCTCACCTTGATGTGTTGAACTGTTCTCTCAAATTCCCCTTTAATGTTTTCTTTGTGTTTTAGTTTCTCTTGTAAGGGCTTCAGTGCTGTATTGAGCTCCTCCTGGAATTGAAAGTGAAAATCCAAGACACCAGAGATTCATGCTAGATGTTCATTTGGTACAGAGACATACATTGTTTATTATATACAACTTATATATACATCTCCTACCTTATATGAAGAGGCCACTTCACCGATGGGTCTGAATGTGTGATTGATGTGTGTCTGTGAAGTAAAGCACACTAAACACGAATTTGTTGTGGTCAGTGGCCAACTTAAAATAAAAGGGAACTATACAGTTTATCTCAGCTTTTACCTCAGGTCACCTCATGGGAGATTATTCTTGAACAAATCAGCCAAGCAGGGCATTTAATTGTCCCGTTGCAAAAAGCCTATGCTTTAAAATTTTGTCATTTAAGAAATTCATACAATAAATGCCGTTTTGTGGCTCTTTAATGTGTCCTGACAGATCGCTGTAGCGCCTCAGTTCAAGCAAAACCACTAATGAAACACTACAGGAAACCAGTTTTTAATGGTTAATAGTTGATGGTTTGTAATATGTAATGGTATTTGTAGTGGAAACCAATAGAATTTCTGTGATTGGTTTCTTGTTTAGTTTTCTTTTCAGCAGGGCGACCATCTCTTCCTTTTTACTACTAGTTACAGCACAAAATAAACATGAATAAACATCAAGGGCTGCACAATGTTGGAAAAAAACTCAATGCGATATTTTGTTTTTCTGCGATATATATTGCAACATGAAAAAAAACACACCAGATGACCTAATCGAATAGCTCGATTTGAAAAAAAAAATTATGATTTTGTAGGCGAGTAAATCAGCATAGAAAATAAACAATATACAAGCATAGATAAATATAATAAATCAAGGATACAAATGAAATAAACAGTGCTTTATATTTTTCAGGCAAGTCTAACAGTATTCAGGTACAGAAATTGAATAATCAAATGTAAAATAACACTGTATAGTCTTCACTGTATAAATTAAATCGAGTTAAAGCTACAAAAGTGATTTTTCTCTTTGCGTTTTGTTGTTTGATTAACATTCATGACACAGAAACTTACTCTGAACCAATATACTGTTATACATCCGTTTTCTTTCTCAATTGTTTACCTTCACCTAAGCCATAAGCAACTGTGTTTATAAGGATACTTGCAGAGACATGCATTTTTCCCGTTAAGTGTCACTTCAGGCACAAATAGACGAAGTGAATGGAATTCGGTGTTGATCTGCATCTGCGTGGCTCTGTGTGTGAGCACAGAAAACAGTACGTGTACATAATTGAGCTCGATTTTGTGCCTTCTCGCGCTTGAATGGTTTAAAATCGCTTGAATGTTTAAACAGACAGGGCCTGAAACGCATGCAAATGATTAACCTTCATTGTATGATGGTTAAACTTTGCAATTAATCCAATAATCACCTGCGTTTCGAACCCTGGTCTATACGGATTAACGATCACTATACTAAATATCGCACATCCTGTGATGTGATTATCGCGTATGCGCACATCGCGATATCAATGCAGAAATATCGTGCAGCCCTAGAAGGTATGATATTTCAACCACGGAAAGACGCCAATATACCATTATTTGTCAGACAAAATGGCAATTTCGACTTTAAGATTGGTAGATCGCCTGTCAAACAAACTCCCAGTGAAGGGTGAATTATGAAATTAAGTTGCAAAGTTACATTTAACGTAAAATTGATAACAGGGTCCAGGGAAGCGATGGGACCAGGCCAGGCTCTCGTCCTCTCCCTCTCCGCTGAACACTCTGTGCTTGTGTTTCTCTGAGGAGATGTGCTGCTGCCACTGCCGATCACTGTTACTGTGTTTCCCACACAGAGGACAGTAGAAACTGTCCAGCTGCACAAACAAACACACGAGTGGCTCCATCAGCACACGTAAGGACAGTAAACATGAGAACGGTAAGAATGAACCTGCAGGAATGTACCATCGCTTCAGCAAAGTCTGTCGGCATAGTGATCTGCTTCTCTTCCATTGGCTGAGATGGTGAGGTGCCATCAAATGCTCTGTTCTGATTGGAGGTCGAGAGCCAGACATCAAACACCTGCTGGAAGTCTCTGACTGCAGCGGAGAACATGTGACCTCAGTTAAACCAATCATGGACAGACCATCTCTATGAGAATTACATACTGCACTGGTGAATGTAATATACACGTTGTCATAAATTCAAGTGTCTTATATCATTGGAATCCTTGGCTCAAGATGAACAAAACGTATATCTCCTACATCGCACTGAGACCCACTTCTTCCTCTCATGAGATTTGACCAGTAAAACCCTCCTGTCTTTGGTCCAGCTGAAGAGAGACAGACAGAGGAAGAGCGTGAGACAGCTCTCTGTGTGTGTGTGTGTGTGTGTGTGTGTGTGTGTCTGTGTGCGTGAGTGAGTGTCTGCACCTGTGTCTGGCTTTAGCAGTGCAGTATTTCAGCGCTCGGTCCGGTTCACTGACCAGCCCATCTTTCCAGCACTGACCGCACACAAACTTCATCATCAGCTCCAGCCCGTGACCTTTGACCTCAGCACTTCCTGTTCCCTGCACAGGACCCGCCTTCCCATTCGTCTCCCCCACTCTGCTTGGACTCTTTGATGTAGCAGCAGTGATTTTGTTCGGTGAGCGTGAAGCAATGACCGCAGGCTGATGGAAACACAGAAATGATCACCACACGCTTTATGAAAGTCTATGTACTTATTAGTGCTGTTTACTAAGTCAGTCTTTACTAGTATTAGTCAGAGGTGACTAGTTAGAGGTTAACTAACACTAAGCATAAAAAGACATAATTCACCCAAAATAAAAAGAAGGTAGCCATCCACTGCTATTATATGACAAGTGAGCGAAGAACATTGATTTCTCCATTTGTGAAAAGAAGGTAATCTGACTTTAGAGCAACACCAGGGTGAGTAAATAATGATGAATAATTATTTAAGAAGTACTCAAGATTTCTACTAAATAATAATTGAGATGAAACTCACACGCTGTTTGTTCCAGTGTTTTTTGGACTCCTGCACGATCTCTTCATGGCTGATTCCTAAAAACACAGATGTAGTAAGATTTCTGTGTCTCCACCTGCTGGATCACTGATGTAAGGTTTAAAGGTTTAGAGGCTTAAAGGTTTTTAAAAACAATTGTCATTTAATTGTGGTCAGAAGTTTACATATGCTTGATTCTTATCACTGTGTGACATTACCTAGATGACCCACAACTAGGGATGGGTATCGCTTACATTTTATCGATACCGATACCGCTTATCAATACTATTTAGTGCAAAAAGATATGATGTGAAAAGTTGTTGAAAAATTCAAGTTATTTTATTACTGCTGAATTTGAACAACTGTATTAAAGTTTTTTAGTCAAGATCGGCGAGTAATTTTTCTCTTTGCGTTTTATTTTATTTATGATGATTAAAGAAATAGTTCATCCAATAATGAAAATTGTCATAATTTACTCACTCTCAAGTTCTTTTAAACCTGAATGAGTTTCTTTCTTCTGTTGAACACAAAAGAAGATATTTTGAAGAATGTGGGGAAACCAAACAGTTGCTGGTCCCCAGTGACTTTCATATTTATTTTTCCTACTATCAAAGTCAGTGGGGACCAGCAACTGTTGGGTTTCCCACATTCTTCAAAATATCTTCTTTTGTGTTCAGCACAAGAAAGAAATTAATACAGGTTTGGTACATGACAGTGAGTAAATAATAACAGAATTGTAATTTTTGGGTGAACTATCCCTTTAATGACAATCGGCAGCATGTTTAGTACTGTTGCTTTAAAACACTCATCTTTTTTTCTCTCAACTGTTTACTTTCACTTTAGACACAAGTTAACTAACTGTGTGTATATGTAAACCTAGTGTGTTTTTGAGAGTATTAGCGCAATCAGTCACTAACTAAGATAACGAAGTAATCAGGTGCTGTTTGACCGGCCTTTTAGTGTACGCACACTTCAAGTGTACGCATTCTGAATAAGCGCACGTCAGTGAAGCACGCAAATGAAACGTTTAACCGGCAAGGTTTTAAAGCACACGCAAATAATGTACTTTTGTAATTGCGAATAAGTGCAGTGTCTCGTGAGTGTAACTCTACAGAATCAACATTTGATGTGAATGTTGCAGCTGGAGCCGGGAGACAGGTCATTGCTTGAGGTAGATGTTGTATTTTGTTAGTAAATGTTTCATTATATTACTAGTGTTGCCTCCTTTGTTCACTATTACACTACTCCATATATTGCATCCGACAGTGCTTAGTTTTGTAACGGGAGCCCACACTTTCAAATGTTTCACTCTTGCCGCGATGACTGATTGCACGCAAACACACACCGTGGATATCACACGCGCATCAAGCAAACGTCGGCCACATCATTCAGTGAAGGGAAATGACAAGCAGCAGCTTCTAATTCACCATAAACATTGAAGTATTCAGGGATAAAACAACGCATGCATCGGTAACAGTATCGTTTGTCCTGAAACTTATCGGTATTGACCAAATTACGTACCGGTCCAAAAAATACCAGTTCTCGGTCCCCATCCCTATCCACAACCTTTTTTTTGTTTTGTTTTGTTTTGTGGTATTTCATCAGTCCCTTGTTTGTCCAGAACAGTAAACTGCCTGCTGTTCTTCAGAAAAATCCTTCAGGTCCAACAAATTCTTTGGTTTTTCAGCATCTTCTGCATATTTGACACCCTTGCAACGACTGTATGACTTTGAGATCCATCTTTTCACACTGACGACAACTGAGGGACTCAGAACATTCACAGATGCTCGAGACGGAAACACGATGCATTAAGAGCTGGAGGCTGAAAACCTTTGAACTGGATGAAGATATGAAGACCTTTTTCATATTTTGTTTAAATATCTTTTTTTTTTTTATTTAGTACTGTCCTTCAGAAGATACTTACATGTTTCCCAGAAGACAAAATAAACACAATTACCCTGATCTTCAAATTCAAAGTGTCTTCTGTAAATCTGACGTTCATTCACTTACTTGACTAAACTAATGTTCTTAACACTCTTATACTTTTATACGTCTTTGTGCCTTTTGAGTGAGTGATGCATGTAATGATTTCGGTGTAAACAGGTGTTCAGTGTGTTGTTTGTGTACCAGTGTCTCTCTGCAGTATCCAGATCTGCAGTTCGATGAGCGAGTGAGCGAAGCAGCAGCCGTCCTTCCTCTTACAGCCCAGAGCGAGCTCTTGACGGCACACATCGAACTGACAGCAAGAGCTCAACGCTCGGATCTTACTGTAACTCACAGCGCTGCTCTTCACCACATGAACCAAGCACCTGACAGAGAGACAGAGAATACTCTATACATGCTTATATCACACGATCCCGTATCATTCAGCTGTGACGATGTGTTTGCTATGGTGAGTTTCTCACGTACTTCTTCTTATCAAACTGATGTTGTGTCGGTGCGTTCGCACACAGAGCCGGATTCTCCTTCCAGCGTTTGCTGATCATTCTGGGTTTGCAGTCAAAACAGGCCTGTGGAAGAATAAAACCACATGCGTTTCAGCATCAGAACGGACAGAGGGGTTAAACAGAGAAGCGTTTCCTCCGAACGACAAGCACTGATCCATGTGCACCAGGTCATTATTTCAACTTTATAGAATTTTTGAACTATGTAAAGTGATAATTACATGCATTTTAATTAAATCATTCTGTTGAAAAAATATGACAAGAAAGAAACAACGGCACAATATTAACAATGAACTAACTTTTTTTTTTTTTTAAGGAAATCTAGAAACAAAATGATTGTTTGCAATAATATGTGACCCTGGAGCACAAAACCAGTCATAATTGTACATTTTTTTAAATTTATATTTATACATCATGTGAAAGCTGAATAAATAAGCTTTCCGTTGATGTATGGATTGTTAGGACAGGACTATATTTTGTTGAGATGCAACTATTTGAAAATCTGGAATCTGAGGGTGAAAAAAAATCTAAATATTGAGAAAATCTCCTTTAAAGTTGTCCAAATGAAGTTCTTAGCAATGCATATTACTAAGCAAAAATTAAGTTTTGATATATTTATGGTAAGAAATTTAATAAAAATCTTCAAGGAACATGATCTTTACTTAATATCCTAATGATTTTTGGCATCAAAGAAAAATCGATAATTTTGACCCATACAATGTATTTTTGGCTATTGCTACAAATATACCCCAGCGACTTAAGACTGCTTTTGTGCTCCAGGGTCACATATGTTACTTTATTTAATATATTTACATTTATTTCAACAGATTAGGTTTTACAACAAGTTTTTACACGGTTTTGTTGATACTTATTTAAATGTTGATACAATTTTAAATTAACCCTCAAAGACAGAGACAGGCTAAAAATAACTATTGTTTTTAAATGTTTAATAACGTTTGAACCGCTAATCCTATCTGAATGCTTTAAAAAGTGTTGTAAAGTGGAGATTTTCCACTTTTCGGAGATATCATTTGTCTTATTTGGATATTCAGAGGCTCTGCAGCGCACGTGATTACTTATTCGTCAGAAGTAACCAATGCATTTCGTTCCTCTGAGCCAAACAGGAACGATTGTTGATGCTTAGTCCCACCCCCCTGCCCAGATTGGTTCAAACTGTCCCATATTCAACCAATAAACATAGGTTTTGGTCTTTTGAACCACCATTTAGGATTTTTCATTGTAAATTTGAACAAACGCAAAGTGAAAGTAAAGTCATGTGTGCATGAAAACAAACACAAAATAACACATTTGCATGAGAGAACTCTCTGAAAAAGCCCAGAAAAACACACGACTGAGTACTCTGACATAAAACAAACCAAAAACAAGGATGAAACAGCGGTACATATTGGATAAAGCACTGGAATGTGTGTCTTCGCGTCACTAGGCGATGTCCCGGTAAAATCGATTCCGATACAGATACAGCCAGCGGATCGATCATTTATATTATGTAAATAATTATTATATAGTTCATAAAGATCATTTTCACTATTTTTTCTGTTGCCCTCTGTATGTTTCTCTCTCATTTTGTGTGTAGTTTGTGAATCATTTGCACGGTTTGTATTTTTGTTGCAGAAGACAAATTGTGCAATTGTTTTCACTAAATAGCTGCACGGTTTGTGTTTGTTGTTGTTCATACTCAGATTGAAAATATATTTATCTGAAAAAAGTCACTTTTTTACTGTGTTTTGTTATTATATAAGACTGATTCCATTTTCTTTACTCCCTAAATGTTTTTTTAGACACATCTATATTGTTAGTAAACTAAATAGACCTGGTTTTCACTGAAAACCGCCTATAACAATATTGTAATAAATGGCTATAACTTGCTTGGGGAATGTTATATGTAGACAAAATTTTATTTGGAAGTGTAAAACACCCAGATACAACTTTCTAAAGAAAAACATCCAAACTTCAGGAGTTTCTGTTTGAGGAAACAGTAAAAAACACCCAATTGTTGCTTGCGTTTTTCTTAAAATTCTGGAAATTCATTAATTCTTAGAGAAAACAAAAGGAAAACTGGGACTTGAAATTAGCTAGACTGAAACTTCACGTTCTCCTGTTTATAATGATATATGACACTTGATGCTGACTGCTAGAATAGGTCTTAAAAAACAAACGTGTCAGGTGCCCCAAAAGTGGTCTAGGTCTTTAAGGGTTAATATACAAAGCGTTTTAATATTTGGTTTAATTATACATAATACATTTAATTATATCTTTTATATTCTATTGTTGTTGTGTTTTCTTATTCTAATGGATGTATTTTGTGCTATACTTGTAGCGCTATGGGTTTAAGAAAAGCGCGTTATAAATAAAATGCATTATTAATTAAAATTAGGTGCAATCTTAGCTTTTGTTTCTTTTAGAATAAAACTAACAGAAATGAATGAATATGACGTTAAATTACTGATTAAATTGAAATTATATTTCTGTCAAAAAACTAAAAATATAACTTAAGGCCTGTTCACACCAAGGACAGTAATGATAAAGATATAATTGTTTAAATCATTCTAACTATATAATAATATCAGAACACAACTATAACGATAAAGACATACAGAAAAAATATCGCTGGAATCACTTACAAAAGAAAGCTAATAACCGATAAAAACATCTACAGCCAATCAGAATTGATCCTTCTTCAAAAAGCTTCTGCATTTAAAGAGGCGGACGACTAAATTGCAGTGTACACTTAAAATAAACTGAACGTTAGCATGTGTTGGTGTGGAGCTAATATGGTTATTGTTTGTTTGGGAAGGTGAAAAGCCCTGAAGATAAAAGTAATTAACACTTGAAATGACTGTTATATTGAGATCACATGACCAGCTGAACCTGATTTATTTCAGTAACACACCATTGTAAGACTCTCGACTTTACACTGACTTGAATCATGAAATTACATGTGTGTGCTTTTACCTCACAGAGGAACATGAACATGCCCGTGTGTATGTTCAGTAGCTCGATGACGCCGAGTGCTTGTCTCTCATTGGTCGAGAGCGGATTGAAGAGCAGCTCTCTGACCAGTAAGCCACGCCTCTCCTGCGTCCACACGTCAATCTCCTCTTGACAATATGCAAACGTGCAGCCCTCACCGTACTTACACACCTGATTCTCCAACACCTCTGCGCACACACACGGGGAGGATTAAAACACATGAATTAAATGTGGTACTAGTTCATCAGTCACTGACTGGTTAACAGGTGACGCACCTCTGCAGAGCACGAAGGAGGCCTGGAAATTGTTGCGAGTTGGGCGGGGCCGGATCCGCCTCCAGGGAGAGCTAGCCCCGCCCCTTCTCTTGCACAGCAGAAGATCCTTCTTACAGCTGTGAGTCACATCAGACCTCAACTCAAAATCCAGCACACCTGGACCTGAGAGAGACACACGGACAGATGAGTTAAAGACACAGACAGATAGACCGAACAATAGATAAAACAACAGATAGAACTAGACTGCTAAAACAATAAAACTATAAGAGTTTCAGATAGAATGATAAACAGAACTATAGATAAAATTATAAATCAAACAATTAAATGATTGATAAAACGGTAGACAATAAATAAAACAGACAGATAGAACAATTAGAATGATAATATGATAGAATGATAAATAAAGCAACATAAAATGATAGAGTGACAGATAAACCTAAGTAAAGTGGCAGCATGATAATTAGAACGATAGATAAAACAATGCACTTTTTTCATTTTATTATTTTTTTTAATCAATTTTGTTTGTAGTTCATCAGTCACTGACTGGTTAACAGGTGACGCACCTCTGCAGAGCACGAAGGAGGCCTGGAAATTGTTGCGAGTTGGGCGGGGCCGGATCCGCCTCCAGGGAGAGCTAGCCCCGCCCCTTCTCTTGCACAGCAGAAGATCCTTCTTACAGCTGTGAGTCACATCAGACCTCAACTCAAAATCCAGCACACCTGGACCTGAGAGAGACACACGGACAGATGAGTTAAAGACACAGACAGATAGACCGAACAATAGATAAAACAACAGATAGAACTAGACTGCTAAAACAATAAAACTATAAGAGTTTCAGATAGAATGATAAACAGAACTATAGATAAAATTATAAATCAAACAATTAAATGATTGATAAAATGGTAGACAATAAATTTTAATTGTTAATTTTTTTAAATAAATTTAGTTTGAAGTCCCCCTGTAGTGAAAATCAAGTTTTTTATGTTGTTTATTTGTCTATGTGGTGTTTTTAATATGCTTTTAGACAAACAATGTGCCAATCTATTAATCAACACCATTGCTGTGTATTTTCTCCTTAAAAGGCTGTCCCAGAAATATGGTTTGAAATTACGTCACAAACCAATAACCAATCACGTCAAGGGATCGATTCCTATCACTAGCATGCAAAATATACCAATACCAGCACAAAACCAAAAATAAATCAGAGCAAAAAACCCATGAAGCTGTGGTTTAATGTGAATTTAGAACTGCTAACTTGCATTATAACCCGTGGCACCAGTGTAAAAGTAGCCCGGAACATTTTGATGATCAAAGATAAGTTTTAAGGGATAAAATATTTGACTACAGGGGGACTTTAAAAACATCTTAACTTTTAGTAGTTTGATAAAATTATGTACAAAGATGTTTAAAATGTGATATAAATCATATTGGAAATAGGTATGAAGTCTGTTCTGCTCACCAAGGCTGCATTTATTTGATCAAAAACACAGAAAAAAAAAGACCCAATAAATGGAACGATAGATAAAACGATAAATAGAAAGATAAAATGACTAATAAAACGATAATTAGAACAATTAGAATGACAAAACAATAGATGTGATAAACAGAGGGACAGATAAAAAGGTAAATAGAATGATAGATGAAACAATAAAATGATAAATAGAACGACAGGTAAAATGATAAAACAATGAACAGAACAATAGATAGAATGATAAAATAAAGCAATAAGCTTTTAATCCGCTTCGCGTCGTGCCTAACAACGCCCCTTAGCTGTTATAAATGCACTGTAAACCACGGCTTCACGGGGATTATTGCTTTTATAAAACGGTTATTCCATATACGTAGTACAGTTTCACAAAATAAAACAGAGCAGATAAAGTGTAATGATTAGAGTTGCGTTCGAGTCTACCTAAGTCGAGTCCGATTATTTAACCAATCGAGTACAAGACAAGTCCGAGTCCCGAACAGCCGAGTCAGAGTCCAACGAAACACTATCATTTATTAGTATCTTAACATTGTTTTAACCTTTACAACTAGAAAAATTCAACGTCCATTTAAATGTAACAAAAGCAAACCTCTATTGCATCTTGCCATATTGATTTTTGATTAATAATTAGTATCCTGCTTTGCTTAGCAAACTTAAAGTCATGTAACAGAAGTTATGGCTGAATTGATTTATGTATTGTGACATATTTCAGAGTGAAACAGGTTTTAGAATGTGAAAAATTAAAGGGCGGGACTTGACATTATTTATCGTTAAAATAAATGTATAAATTCAAGGGTGGGGGTAAAGGAGTAGGTATCTTGGTGAATGGGACCTTAAGAGCAGAAAATGCACCTTTATCTGAATAAAAAAATAGATTTTTTTATGAAATATGAATTTTGAATAATCAAAATTAGTTTGTGTCAGCTTATTCTATTCATCAGTGTTTGAATCATTAAAGAAGAAACTGCATTTTAATTTCTGGGTTAAAAAAAAACAAAACTAAAAATGAATGGACGCCAAAGTACACGGACCCTAGACAGGGCTTTTTTTTTTTTTTCTTGGATGAAAATGAGGCTGTGAGGGATAAACCTAGTCTGTACAATAGCACACACTGTGTATAAAAGCCCTACATATACTTTCCGTAAGTCACAGCCAACTCACACCTGTTTTATTTTTGAATGCATTTATAGTTACATAAATTACATTATGTAAGGAATAATTGATGATGGACCACTGAATTATTAGAAAATAATGCACACCCGAGGTGATTTTGGACCCATAAAACCTATTGCCGCAAAGATGTTAGAAAAAAGATTTTTCTTTGAAGCTAGAAACTGCCACTAATACAAAAGCAAAAAATAATAAACTAATGTAATAAAACATTCTCAAGCTTACTGAAGGCAAGTAAATACTCCAAGTATTACTTACAAGCTAAATTATAAATAAATATAGGCCTATTACTCAAAATAGATAGTAGCCTAAAGGCTTCTAGAAATAGCCTACTACAGACATTTCATGAAGTAATAAATGTAAAAATAATCTTCACTGTATACATTAAATATAGATGATTCTTATTAAAGTTAATAAGTGATTCAGTCAAGAGCAGTGAGTGATTTTCTCCTTTCGTTTTGTTTGATTAACATTAATGATGCAGTCGGCGGCTGCAGGTTTACGCTGTTGCTTTAAGATCTTAAAGATATTAGAAGATATTAAAGATAAGATATTTTGACACATCTGTATTTCTCCCAACTGTTCAAGTTCACTTAAGACAAAACCGACTGCATTTACATGAATGGTCTCCAAGATGGGCATTTTGACATAACTTTTCGTGTAAGTGTGTAGCAATAACAGAACTTAAGAGAACTTAAGAGAAAGAGAACACAGCATTCGCACGCTGACTGAGAGGCGCGTTATTCTGTGAGCGCGTTTTCGGTGTGTGAGCACAGAAACCCGTCGGCTTTCAAGTACTGGACAAGACTTAAAAACACATGCAAATACTGAATTATCACTTTCGTGATAATGCATCGAGTCAGTGACATTTCCGTCAACTGTCCCTGGACTCGGTTGGACTCTCCGAGTGAAAATGCATCCAAGTCCGTGACAAGTCCAAGCCCTTTTAAAAAAAAATTTTACTCGAGACCGGACTCACGCCAAGTACGAGTACCCCAACTTTAGTAATATTAATAAAAACAGTATTCTTGCACCAAACAATGTAGCTCCTCAGAAACAGTTGTGGTTCCAACAAAGTGGTTACCGAGCAACAGGCAAACGTAAAAAAAGGTGCATGTTTGTAGTAGAGCCCGACCGATATATCGTTTATCCGATATTATCGGCCGATACGAGCCTGTCGCCGATATATCTGTATCGGCAAATATGCCGCTGATATGCCGCCGATATAAAAAAATTTTTTTGCAGAGCATATAACACAGATAAAACGCTTAAAATGGTGTAATTACTTAGTTTGTCCAGCAGAGCGCACTCCATTGTTTGCTACTGGCGACCTGGATGAAACGCTTCAATGTAGCTCCTCAGAAACAGTTGTGGTTCCAACAAAGTGGTTACCGAGCAACAGGCAAACGTAAAAAAAGGTGCATGTTTGTAGTAGAGCCCGACCGATATATCGTTTATCCGATATTATTGGCCGATACGAGCCTGTCGCCGATATATCTGTATCGGCAAATATGCCGCTGATATGCCGCCGATATAAAAAAATTTTTTTGCAGAGCATATAACACAGATAAAACGCTTAAAATGGTGTAATTACTTAGTTTGTCCAGCAGAGCGCACTCCATTGTTTGCTACTGGCGACCTGGATGAAACGCTTTAAAGCTCAAGTCTATGGAAAACCATTGAAACTTTGAACGGCCATATCTCCGTAACGGCGTGGCGGATCCGCACCAAATTCAGGGTTCCCTTCAGCTCGAGGAACCCTCTCGAACGCAAATAGAGTGTACGTCTCGAGGCCCTCTTTCGAATGAGACCACCCCCGCGTCGATAGCCCCCGGGGTTCGGGAGTTACGGGTGGTTAAATTCGCGGTCCCGGGGGCTACCGACGCGCGGAGGGTGGCATTCGAGAGGGCTCCTCGAGCTGAAGGGATCCCTCGAATTTGGTGGAGATCTGCCGGCGCGTTCGCGAGATAGTGACACCAGTCAACACTTTCACTTCAGTAAGGACTTGTTCAGGCAGCAGCATTCAAGCGTTGTCTTATTCGACCGTAAGTGCCCTGCGAAGTGGACTTCACATGATATTCCGCCATGATTCCAGTTCCAAGGGAACGTACACGTTGCATTCAAAGGACATTAAAGTGCGCGAGACGTGAATTTATATTTATTCACAGAGGTAAATTATGTCACACTTCACACTTCTCTAGAAAGTTTCATCTGTGTGTGAAGACAGTAGCGCAAATCCGTGAATGAATGTTCCAAAGTGAAATAAACTTCAATGGAATAAAATTGAATGGAATTGAATTAAAGTTGAATAAACTTCAACTTTACTGTTCAGTGCACTGATATCAGACTCATTTTGAATAAAGTTTATTGTTAAATTGTTAAATGCCCTGCCTCCATCATTACATATCTTTGTCACGTCATTATAAGTGTTTGATCACCACATTTGAGTGATCATTGCAAAAAATTTGTTTATGTACTGTATATATATTCTGTTTATGTATATACTGTATTCTATATATAGTACCAGTCAAATGTTCGGACACACGAATGGGAAAGTGTCCAAACTTTTGACTGGTACTGTACTATAATATACACAAAGAATATCGGCCGATATATCGATATCGACCTTTTTTTACCCCCAAATATCGGTATCAGCCCCAAAAAACCCATATCGGTCGGGCTCTAGTTTGTAGTGTAATTAACAACAGCTTCGAATGTGGCTCAACCAATCAGAATCAGGGACCGGAACACTCCGTTTTATAACGATAAATAAAACGACAGTATGATAAAACAATAAAGAGAACGATAGACAGAATGATACAAAGAATGAAAACAACAATAGATAGAACAAATAGAATGATAAAACTATACATAAACTGATAGAATGATAAACAGAACAGCAGATAGAACGATGAATAAACCATTAAAACGATAACCAGAATGACAGAGGGACTGTGCGTGTCTGAATCACCTGTACTATTGAAGCAGCTGCTGCAGGCTTGAGTGAAATCATGCGTGTGCTCCAGCGGGTTCTCGGACAGACTGGATAGAGTCGAGGTCACGTGACCATTCCTCTGTAACGCACATACACACACTCTCAGAGACGCACGAACGCTTTCACATCTTCAGACTGTCAAAAACGCAGAACGTACCGTATGAGGAGAATCTGTCAGTTTGACCGACGGCAGAAAACCACAACAGACCTTCCCACCTACCAGAGAAATAAACACATGCTAGAATCAAAATCAAACATCAGCACATGTTCAAGTATAACAGTCGAGCTGAACGCGCAGACCTGGCAGACTGAATTCAGACAGCGAATCGAGCGCGTCTCTTCCCACCACTAGAGGGCGCTGCAGGGAAACGGAGCCGTTTGATGGACAGATGGAGTCCAGCGCATCCAGATCGCCGCTGGAAGAGTTCAAGCTCAGCTCAGCTTTAGTGAAGGAGTCCAGAGAGTTCAGCTGACTCCCGAAGGAGGAGAAGAAGGCAGGAAGACGAGGAGACGAGAAGCACAGCAGAGAGCTGGGAACCACTCCACTCTGAGCGCCAAGCAGGAGAGAATAAAGCAATAAGCCCCAAGAAGCCATGGTTTACAGTGAATTTATAACAGTCGTGCCTAACAACGCCCCTTAGCTGTTATAAATTCACTGTAAACCACGGCTTCACGGGGCCTATTGCTTTTATAAAACGGGTATTTTATATACGTAGTAAGGTTTTACAAAATAAAACAGAGCAAATAAAGTGTAATGATATTAATAAAAGCAGTATTCTTCCACCAAACAATGTAGTTCCTCAGAAACAGTTGTGGTTCCAACAAAGTGGCTGCCGAGAAACACACAGAAGTAAACAAAGGTGTGTGTTTGTAGAGTAATTTACTACAGCTTAGAACTTGGCTCAGCCAATCAGAATCAAGGACCGGAACTCTCCGTTTTATAATCAACTAGTAACTGTGAGATATGACATTTATGTCTGATTAGTCAGTGTCCTCACCTGCGATGCGTCTTCCTCTTTAGACATGCAGTCCAGCAGATTGTCCAGCTCGTCTCCCATCAGCTCACTGTCCTCCAGCGACTGAGACACGGGCACCGAGAGTGGCACGGCTCCGGACTGACCCGGGGCCTCATGGGAGTCGCTCACAGGGACCGGCGCGGGTAAGACAGGAGACGGCCACTCAGAGTCAGCTGTCAGACAGAGAAAACACTGAACATCAACAACACAATCAGCAGCAGAATTAGACTAGACAGGTTTGTAATGAAACACTAGCATACTGTGCACTATATACTGGCTTCTTTTGTAAAATAATAGCATGTAAAACAGCATGAGATATGCATATTTTAATCAATTTTGTTTAAAAACATCTTAACTTTTTGCAGTTTGATTAAGTTAAGTACCAAGATGTTTAAAATGTGATTTAATTCATATTGGAAATAGGTATGAAGTCTGTTCTGCTCACCAAGGCTGCATTTATTTGATCAAAAATACAGTAAAAAAAAAAAAAAAAAGTTAAATATTTTTACAATTTAAAACAACTGTTTTCTAAGTGAATATATAATAAAATGTAATTTATTCCTGTGATCAAAGCTGTATTTTCAGCATCATTACTCCAGTCTTCAGTGTCACATGATCTTCAGAAATCATTCTGATATGCTGATTTGGTGCTTAATAGAATGATTACAGTCAATGTCTTTACTGTCACTTTTGATCAACTTAATGCATCCTAATTTCCTTCCAAAAATTATACTCACCCAAAACTTTTGTACATTAATGTTTATGCATTTGGCATTTTGGCAAAAAATGTTTTAAGTTTTTTTTTTAAACTGCATTAAAAAAAAAACCTTTCAGTTCATGCATTCTCTGGGAATCAAGTGCATGACCGCGGTGTTGCTAGCGTCACGCTCTGCTGTCTGAGCTACAGGAAAACATGTGGCATTCCTACTATTAGCATGATATTCAGTCTCTTTGAAATACCTGCAGAGTCAGTCACTTCCTCCAGCTCAACAGAAGAAATCTGCAAACAAACACAAAAGATGTCTAAATCTACTCATCAGCAGCTAGCTAAGGCGTAATGCTCAAATGATATTCATGAGAAATAAGAGTTTAAAATCATAGGTTTTTGTTTTTTTATATAAATGAAGTCCTGCCTCATCTAAAGGTGACGGCGCGGCACAGTCGTCCTCAGATCCTGCTGCTTTCCCCCTCTGAAACAGAAGAACGGATTTCAGGAAAATAAAACCGCTCCATAATATGATTATCTTTCTGAAACATTGCCTTATTGCACTCAAACATGCTGTTAAAAATATTTCAACAGCATGCACAGGATTCTGGGTACTCACGTGAGAACTGATGTACGCTTTTCTGTTTTTCAAGCCCAGACTGGCTGCGATTTCCTTGGACAAATTGCTGACCGTCTGATCCTGAAAAACATATGAAAACAGTGACACAACAGATGGAAGAACACTTGGTTTAATGAAGCAGATATTCCAAATAGCAATAGAACATGAAAGTTACAGTTGACTAGTAAATGAGTAAATTATCCTTCCTGACTTTACCCAACAAACAATGAAATTAAGTAAATTATGTTGCAATTTTATTCCTAATTATGCCAGTTAACCATGTTTTTCAGTTTAATTTCTTACGTTTTTTGTGATTGTGACTAGTGGTCGACCGATATTATTTTTGACAGCTGATGCCGATATATTTGAAAGCAGGGTGGCCGATATACATAAATGCATGTATTTTTATTTATAATTTATCATTTTTAATAATAATTTATCATTTAAATTTTTATTTATATTTGAAATAATTTGAAAATAAATGTGTAAAATAAACATACTTATAATTTAAATGGCAACTTCTTGATTCTGTAATCCTATTACAGTATTTTTCCCAAATAAATATTTAAAAAATACATAATTAAAAGGAAGTAAACACTGTAATAAACAGGGCACTCAGTATTCTGGGAAGTTTGTGTGGATTGGGAATCATATTTTGTCAAATAAAGCCAAGGTAACACTCATTTTACATGCTGCACACAGTGAAAGTGACATGAATATGACATTAGGCAGATGAATAAAGCACAGCATAGTTAAATCACGAGTTTAAAGTCTGTCGATCGTGTGTCTCGTGAACTCTCCTCCTGTCCGCATTCAATTTGCATGGACACATGATCATATGCAGGATACAAACGCACACTTCACAAGATCTCACAGCTGGATTCCACTAAGTCTGCAAGGTTTGAGACATGAAATTTTTATTAGACATTCAAAGATTTGTTTAAACTATATAAATGCGTATTTGCTGAATGCTGACAGCAAGCGAGAAAGTAATGTTTGCCTTTCTATTACTAATAATATAAAAGCAATCGTTACAATACTTTAAATTTTTTTGTTTAACAGTTCTATCTGATTATTAGGCAGACTTATATCCGTATCAGACAGAACTGTTAGATGGTGAGAGCAAACAATAAAGAGGGAGAATGTGAGCGCTGTGTGCTCAAGCACTGCTGTTCTCAGTGGAGCCAAGTCTTAAACATATCGGCCAAACTGAGAAACATATCGGCCGATACCGATATTTGAAAAATTCCATATATTGGCCGATATATATCGGTCGACCACCAATTGTGACCTTCTAAATGTTTTTGAATGCTGGGCATTTATTTATTTACGGTGCATTAATTTTCAATTTACTTTAATTGAAATGTTTTGAATGGGTTTTAAATTGACACACTGCTTTAATTTAATAATTTATATATTTAGTTTAACTGTATTAAAAGCATAAGACTTGAGTGATATAGATTAAAGCAGAAACAAATAAATGATACATTTTTGGCCTTTTAGTGATATTAAATAATATGAAATGGAACATTTTAAAAGGTATATGGTATAATGGAATGAAAAGAAAGTAATGTTTGCCTTTCTATTACTAATAATATAAAAGCAATCGTTACAATACTTTAAATTTTTTTGTTTAACAGTTCTATCTAATTATTAGGCAGACTTCTATCCGTATCAGACAGAACTGTTAGATGGTGAGAGCAAACAATAAAGAGGGAGAATGTGAGCGCTGTGTGCTCAAGCACTGCTGTTCTCAGTGGAGCCAAGTCTTAAACATATCGGCCAAACTGAGAAACATATCGGCCGATACCGATATTTGAAAAATTCCATATATTGGCCGATATATATCGGTCGACCACCAATTGTGACCTTCTAAATGTTTTTGAATGCTGGGCATTTATTTATTTACGGTGCATTAATTTTCAATTTACTTTAATTGAAATGTTTTGAATGGGTTTTAAATTGACACACTGCTTTAATTTAATAATTTATATATTTAGTTTAACTGTATTAAAAGACTTGAGTGATATAGATTAAAGCAGAAACAAATAAATGATACATTTTTGGCCTTTTAGTGATATTAAATAATATGAAATGGAACATTTTGAAAGGTATATGGTATAATGGAATGAAAATATTATTTTTTCCCCATAGGAAACATTTGAAATATTCTGATCTAAAATACAGTAAAAATCTTGTCAAAAATAATGAGAGAATTACAGTTTTTTACTAAATGGACCCTTTTCATAGATTGTTTTTGTATGCATGTACGTGTGTGCATGTACGTGTGTGCATATATATATTATTTGAAAAATTCCATATATTGGCCGATATATATCGGTCGACCACCAATTGTGACCTTCTAAATGTTTTTGAATGCTGGGCATTTATTTATTTACGGTGCATTAATTTTCAATTTACTTTAATTGAAATGTTTTGAATGGGTTTTAAATTGACACACTGCTTTAATTTAATAATTTATATATTTAGTTTAACTGTATTAAAAGACTTGAGTGATATAGATTAAAGCAGAAACAAATAAATGATACATTTTTGGCCTTTTAGTGATATTAAATAATATGAAATGGAACATTTTGAAAGGTATATGGTATAATGGAATGAAAATATTATTTTTTCCCCATAGGAAACATTTGAAATATTCTGATCTAAAATACAGTAAAAATCTTGTCAAAAATAATGAGAGAATTACAGTTTTTTACTAAATGGACCCTTTTCATAGATTGTTTTTGTATGCATGTACGTGTGTGCATGTACGTGTGTGCATATATATATATATATATACATACACATATACACACACACATATTACCTTCAATTTAAAAAAATAATAATAATAATGCACATTTATAGCACTGTAGTTTGGGTTACATTACCTTGGCATTAAATTACAGAAAACTGAATTCCCAAGAACAGCCGAGTTGAAATTTTCATTCATTCACTTTATTTATAGAGCACTTTACAACTGCACCTGCAGACCAAAGTGCTGTACAATCAAGAAACACTTCATTAAAACACACAACTTAAAACAACACACATCCTACTAACAACAAAGACTAGCCCACCCTCTCAAAGGTAAAAGACAATAAATAGTTTTTGACTTCAACTTTAAAAGCATTTAAAGATGAGACCTCTCTAAGTTCCTGAGGAAGACAATTCCAGAGCTTCGGCCCCGCAACAGCAAAGGCCTGATCCCCTTTTAACTTTAAATGAGTACGAGGGACAGTAAGCAATAACTTATTATTGGATCTTAGAGACCCAGGTGCTTGACGAACAGCAATGAGCTCAGACACGTAAGCAGGGGCCATCCAATGCACTGCTTTAAAAACATACAAAAGAGTTTTATATTTTATCTTGTAGTTCACTGGTAGCCACTTGAGAGAAGCTAAAATAGGAGAGATATGATGACTTTTCTTAGCACCCACTAGCAGCCTATCTGCTGCATTCTGAACTAATTGCAAGAGTGAAATAGTGGTCTGACAGGACTCCACATACAACACATTGCAATAATCCAGACGAGACAAAACAAAAGTATTAATAACCTTCCCTAATTCTTTTCTTGACAGAATAGGCTTTAGTCGAGCAATAGACCTAATCTGGAAAAAACAAGTCTTTACTACAGCATTAATCTGCTTGTCAAATTTCAGCTCTGGGTCAAACACCACACCTATGTTCCTTATTTGGCCATGGCAATAATCGGACTATGAACCCAAATATGTGGACATATCTAAACATCCTCTGGCAGGACCAAAAAACTATCTCAGTTTTATTCTGGTTCAGCTGAAGCAGATTTTGAGTCATCCAGCTCTTAACCTCCTCTAGGCATGCAAATAGCAAATTAGAACCATTGTTCTCTCCCACTCTCATAGGTAAATAGATCTGCGTATCATCCGCATACAAATGGTACGACATGCCGTATTTTTTAAAAATTGAACCCAGGAGCAACATATACAATGAAAATAAAATAGCCAATAACAGAACCCTGGGGGACCCCACAAGTAACAGGCGCTGCCGTTGAAACAAAGTTACCATACTTTACAGAGGATGATCTATGTGACAGATAGATTGCGTTACCTGCATCTCTGATTATATGGAGGTCATTAACAACTCTTAAATGTGCAGACTCAGTGCTGTGACCTGCCCTAAAACCGGACTGAAATTTATCGAAGATCTCATACCTACTTAAAAATGACATTAACTGGGAATAAACCACCTTCTCTATTTGAGAGATATAAATTTGACATATTTCTCTCTTCTGACCAGCATAATCAATCTTACAATGTTTTCCTTTTTTGCGAAGTCATGGAAAAACTATTAGGAAAAATAACACACAAAAAAAAAATTATTGTAGTTTCTGTTTACCACTATTGAGGTTTGCCAACTCTGACGACTTCTGAGAACGTGTAAATATAAAAAGGGTCCATTAGATCACAGAATAATTACAATTAATCACATTCATTTAGCAATAATATCTCAACACACGTTAATGATCAGCAACGTTTACTTCCATAAAGGATAATAACAGTGTTGTTTACCTGCGGTGAGGCCAGCAGACATGCAGCACTGCAGTCATACGCCTCTCTCAGTTTCCCAGACTCCTTCAGACACACGGCTTTACGATATAACGCTTTAGCGCTGTCCTTACACACCTCCAGAGCGAGATCGCAGTCCTTCACACTGCTGTCAAACTCGCCCTGACAGACAGAGAGAAAACACACATGACAAAAAACATAAAGCATCCAACAGGAACTTTAAAGGCCAAAATCCAGAAACTAATTTAATTTTAGCACTTTCTTCAATTGAGCATGTTTACATGCACACCAGTAAGCTGATAACTCACAAATATCAGCTTTTAACATAACCAGTTTTCCCCGTTTACATGCACATCAGAAACCTGAGAACACAAGTAAGCCTTGTTTACATAACTTTATTAATAAATCACGTTATTTCCCTGTAGTGACGTCAAAACATAACCATTTGCATATCTGACTCAGCTGTGATGTTAAATCAAGCTTGCGACGTGTCAGCAGGAAACTTCCAGCTCATATTATCCTCTCATGCACTTACAGATGACTGAAACACTTCTACTGCACGATTTTCTGGGTCATGAAAGGCTACGTTCACACTGCAGGCAAATGTGGCCCAAATCCGATTTTTTTTGCTGACATGTGACTCAGATCTGTTTTTGTCATGACAGTGTGAACAGCACAAACCGCATGGAATCTGATCTTTTAAATTCTGATTTGTGCCACTTCCATATGTGACACTGGAGCACAAAATCAGTCTTAAGTCGCTGGGGTATATTTGTAGCAATAGCCAAAAATACATTGTATGGGTCAAAATTATCGATTTTTCTTTTATGCCAAAAAAATCATTAGGATATTAAGTAAAGATCATGAAGATATTTAGTACATTTCCTACTGTAAATATACTGTACATATAAAAATAGTAATATGGATTGCTAAGAACTTCATTTCAACAACTTTAAAGGCAATTTTCTATATATTTTTTTGCACCCTCAGATTCCAGATTTTCAAATAGTTGTATCTCGGCCAAATATTGTCCTAACAAACCATACATCAATGGAAAGCTTATTTATTCAGCTTTCAGATGATGTAAAAATCTTAATTTCGAGAAATTGAACCTTATGACTGGTTTTGTGGTCCAGGGTCACATATGTGGTACTAAATCCGATACAGGTCAGATGTTTTGAAATGCGATCGCAGTGTGAACAGCCATGCCGGATTTCACGCGGCTTTTACGTCGCTCTACATTCGTCATAATTCCGCGCTGACGGGAGACACTTCAAAGATTTTTACATACCCAAAGTTATCAAGACAGTTGCGAAAGGTAATCAGTGGAAGTACAGTGATGTGTCAGAGCTCATAAGTATTATAGTGACAACTCCATATACAAGCAAAACATGAGCGCTTGAATCATTCAAGTTTCCGAACTCTGCTGTTTTTGTCACATCCTTGTCTTTATTTTTCATATGGCCAGTGCATAATTTGGCTGGCTTCTGCAGCAGATCACACTATAAATAAATGCATAATCGCTTACATTATGTCCTCCGTGTTTACTTTTGTATGACGGTGCACAAGTGTTGCCAAATCCAGTTTCCCCGCAGAATTCGGCTACTTTTTCCTCTGTTGCGCGGGTTGTTTTTCCAACTTCATGGGTTGACGCGAGCCCACTAACGCAATGTTTACATCCCTGAACAGGATTGGGCTAGTTTTGGACTAGTTTTGAGAAACAATTAGGCAGATTTTGTCGTTTAAACCTGGAAACCCTGTTCGTATCATTCTTTTGCGCAGTTCAGGACCATGATCTGTTCACACTGTAAATCTGATACTGGCCCCATTTAAAACAACAATGTGAACAGCTATACAAAAAAAAAAAATCAGATCTGAGAAGAAAATTGAGCACTATTGTGAACGTAGCCAAAGAGTCTGCATTTGTGATCCGTTTCCTTCATTCCGGCAAAATGCTCTCTGGATTTTTTGTAGTTCGCTTATAGTTTAGCTTTCATCATCTGGCCATTTTATTTAGGCTTCAAAATTCCTAAAAGTTGTGCTCCGATTATCGTAAAGAGCAAAACGTGTAAGAATCATAAACTTTTGTTGGTCTCAGAGCTTATTTTCTGCAATAATCTCAAAGCCAATAGAAAAAAACCCATTGGGTTTTTGTCAAAAGAATCTGAGTGATGGTAACTTCTGGTTTGGCCTACAAAAATACGTAGATCTTGGTGTGAAATTCACCATGTTCTGATGGACGGCTGCGCGGTTGATGTACAGACTCTCCAGCAGGGCGGCGGGAACGTTCAGCCCCTCGGTTTGAGCATAAAGCGCCACATTGACGGCCTCGCTGAAATGGCCGCGCGCCTGCGTCCAGTCGCCCTCTCGAAACGCGGCATTGCCCTCGTCTAAGAGATCACACACCAGCTGAACCACAAACCCCTGATGAACAACAACAGGACAGAAGAAACGAAAAACAAAGAGAAAATAGTTACAGGAGAACGTTTTGAACATTTGAGTTTTAAACTGGTCCAGTCATGCTAAATGTATGAACGACTTTACTCAGCTATACTTCAGAGAGCAAATGTGAATGCGTGTCCATTTAGATAAGCGTTTGAGTGCAAAATATTTCCTCAAGCCCAACCTCATAGCCTTCAGGGTCCGGATAAGGCAGAGAACACCTGCAGACACGAACAACAAAACAGAAATCAACACTACGACTGATATGAGACAGTCAGCAGATGATACACAATGATACACTTTTTTTTAGTACTTGATGAAGTTCAGCGCTCTCTGAATCTCCTCCCGGCGCTTCTGACGCTCACCGCTCATGTTTGACCATCCCAAACCTGAAAAACAAACACACACGTGTGCAAAAGTTCACTTTTACCAGCTGTTCACCATTACAGTCTCAAAAGACACCAATGCTTTCTATGTAAAAGTGTGTATTGTAACTCAAACATTTGGTTTATGCACACCAGCATATACACTAAATATTAAAGCACCAAAGTTGTAATTATTACACTATGAAAGCATCACAGTGTATTTTTGCATTTTCAACAGTGTATTTATAGGTTTTCTTTTGTGTTTGATGTAATGAGTCAACCTAGTTGGCTAGACAGCATTATTATTATTATTATAGCGTTCTAAGAACGTTTAGCTAACGTTCCTGTTAAGTTTTGAAAATGGTATTTCTGAACGATAGAAACGTCCAGTTTTTTAGAGAACGTATTACAGAAACGTTCCATGTTACCATTTTGCAAACACTGTGGGAAAGTTACTTTTGAGTGTTCTCTGACCCACCTGAAGCTTGTATCAACGTTCAAAAGAAAAAAAAAAAAGAGTTAGATGAACGTTCGGAAATATATTCCATGAATGACTTCGGAGTTTTGAGAACGTTACTGAAGACCGGATAATTCGGAATGAACGTTCCATTAACGTTACTGAAAGAATGTTCGTAACTTTGAGACAACCTTGTCAGAAGTTCTGAGAACGTTCCCTCAGCAGCGATGACACTCGAAAGCGCTACAGTAACAGAAGGGAAATAACTAGAGATTTGAAACACGCCCAAACTCACTTGACTTCACTTCCTCCCACAGACAGCTTCTACAAAAACGAAACTGAAGCAGCTGGAAATAAACATCCAGAATGACAACCCACTAATAAATAAAGTCGGCCACAAAAGAGCAAACATACCCCCAGAATAAAGGCGTCATTAGAATCACAGCTGTGAACTTTACGTGAACTCACCTGTCTGGAGAAAACCACGACAAAAAGCGCTTTCTTCTGAGCTCCGCGCGTGTGTGGTTGGCGGTTTGTGTGCAGAACACTGGAGGAATGGCTGACAGATTAAATATTATTCAAATGTGTGTGTGTGAACCTTTCACTGCTCCCTCCCTGCGATCCCGACTAGTGTTTCCAGCTCTTCCGCCAGGAGGCGCTCGGTGGCCGGAAGAGCCGAGTCCCTCATTCACATGCGTTCGCATCTCTGCACGGTTTTTCGCATTATTGGGAACGTATCGGGTAGAAAACATATTATTTTGAGCATGTTCATTTGTAGAATTGATAACCGGAATGCAAATTAAAATACGTATATATTACACATTATAAAATTGTGTCCAAGTAATCCATGTGCAGGAATCAACGAACAACTGTGATTGGTCCATCCTGACCAGCGCTGAGTAAAGTAACACGCATCACGTGACAATGCCGCTCCGCTGGAACAGACGTGAGGACAACGCTTTATTAAACGTTTTAAAGAAAAGACATCAGTGAATGCACTCTTATCAAAAACATGCATTGATCTGTTTTTTCGTCAGATATGCTTAAACCTCAGTTAGTTTCCGGGTTGCCAGGTTTTCACAACATAACCTGCTACTCAAAACTAGCCCATAGCGTTCCGGGGGTAAAATACACTTTTTTTGTTTGTTTTTGTTCCCCTGGTAAAATTAGCATTCCAGGGGATAAATATGGCATTATTGGGGTCGCTTCCACCCGCGGACGTGAAAAACAACCGGTGGCATCAGTGTTAAAGTAGCCCAATTCCACGGGGAAACTGCGGACGGGATCTGGCAACACTGGTTAGTTTGTTAAAGGTGGGGTAAGAGATTTCTGGTAGCCAGTGTTGACAATTGAAATCACCAAAACAAACACGCCCCTACCCCAAAAGGGTCTCGCCCCTATTTTGATAGCTCCGCCCCACACATACGTACGCAACCCAGGCAACGATTAGTTCTGTGAAACAAAGCAAAACCAATGTTACACCGTGTCTACACCAGACGCGAGTGGCGTGGCGCGACAAAATACTATAGAACTCATTATAATCAGTGATGCTGTCTACACCATCGATATCTATGGTCTACACTGGACACGACAAATCCCCGACAGAAAACTGCTGCTGCGTTCTATTTGTGACGTATTGACACAAATTTCAAATGATTTTCAACGCTTGCTTTGATCGCGTCCAGTGTGCTAGACAGACTTTAGCTGTTGCGGTGGAGACACGGTGTTACTCAGCTATCGAGAAGAAACAAAGCAACCTCGGCGTGCTGCTGATTGGCTACAAGTTTGTTTTGCTAGAATCCGTTTTCTAAAGTGTTTTTGAAAAATCACTTACCCCACCTTTAAATAAATGTGTCCTTGTGTTTTGGGAAAACGATTTCAGTCAGATTACAGTGGCCTTGAATTCCCTCCAAGCATCGGATTATCTCTTCAAGAATTTAGTCATTGTGAAAAACATGTCCGTAAGTGATTATACACTCCTGCCACGCTTTAAAATGATTAATAATTAAATTTGCCAACATATGATGCTAAACAAATAAAAAATATATATAAATAAGCAGTGCCGTAATGTGGTAATTTTAATTAACACTAACAGTAGAAGTAAAAAAAAAAAAAAACAATACACGCTAAATAAAATGTACGAACTACAAATCCCATGAACCCTTGCGCGTCTACGCCACTGCATCATCAGAACGAGCGGGAGGAAGCAACTGGGTGCAACAGAAATACTTCTGCACCCAGAAAATCACATCAAACACCACCTGTAAGTACAAACTCAATATTCATCCGCGAAGTTTATTCCAGAAACGAGTGTCTAGTGTCTAGTAAATAGGCTGCGTCACTTAAAACGTGCTTTGCGTGCTGATCATGTGTCACTGTGTATGAATATGAAAACACGTTTATATAGAGACGCGTACATTTATGTAAACAAACGCTTCACTTAAGGGGTGACCAGTGGTTACACTATTAATAAGAATATTTAACGTTTTAACATGTAAAGTATGTTTACATGGGATTCATGTATGAGTGAAGTTTAATTAATGTTAATAAAAATATTTTAAATGACATTTACATTGTTAATAATAGTAAATGTAACATGAAAAGTGATAATGTTAGTCAAAATGTAGTGGGTTTGATGTGAGTCAAATGTTATCTGTATAATTCACATGAACTTTTCTTTGTCTGTTTAGCAGCAGAGTTAAAATCATGTTACACTCTTGTGTGTTCCTGTGTTTTCTTCAGTTGGGGTCAAGATGGCATCAGATGCTGTGGCAGATCTCGCCGACTCATTGGCCAAAACTCAAGTCGACGAGGGCGAGCTCAGTTATAAAGGACAAGGCCTTAAACTGGACAACGCTCAGTCTGGTGAGCTGCCGGTGATCTCCTGGTTTCACACGCTTGTGCATCTTTATGAAAGAGTAACAGAGGTGATGTTGTGTGGTGTGCAGTGGAGGAGATGGTGAAGGCGATCGAGGAGTTTGACGGGCTGCTTGCGCTCAGACTGGAGGGGAACACCATCGGCGTGGAGGCAGCGCAGACCATCGCTAAAGCCCTGGAGAAGAAGAGCGACCTGCAGGTGCATATGCCAGATCATCTCGACTTCTTTCATTTATACCTAAACCCTAAACACATCAGTAGTTGATAACCACTGATAAGCTACTACTAAATATTGTAGAAACTTAATTTTCTGTAAAGTTGCTTTGCAACGATTGCAGACAAATAAACTTGAATTGAATTGAAAAATAGTTCTCATGATTTCTAGTCGTGTCCATTTTTGGAAGACCAAACAAAGTAGTTTCACTTTCACAAGTTGGCGGCAGCAACAATAAAGTTACGCCTTCTTTCTTTGCGTGAACATTTGGGCGATGTTATGCTAATATTACCACATAGTGAGGTAGATATGTGGGGGCGTGTTTAAATGAGCCATTTTAGGGGGGCGTGGACGAGTCTTAACTTTGATAAAGAATATCTCTTTAGATTTGAGACTTTAGTCTTTGCAACTTCAGGGATCTTATCTATGCACGAACAGCTTGTAACACTCCAAAGAGAAAGGAAAACTTGAAATTGCATCATATGACCCAAAAAATTGCATCATATGAAAAAACAAAACAAAAACAATGCTAAATCAAGTAAGTAAATGCATCCAGTCATGCAACATTTGGACAAAAATAAGCCAGCTTATTAACTTTTAAAAGGCAAGAGAAGACAAATTACATCTATTTTGTTCTTGAAATCAAAGGCTAATTTATTTTTATTTTTATTTTTTTTTTTACAAATGTAGCTGTCATTTGATGGAATTTCATCCAATTAAGACCATTGTTAGCATGGACAGGTTGTGCGACTTGAGTTCATTAAAAAATAAAAATAAAATACAACCCAGACAACATTGAATACAGGTTCACTTTCAGCGAGAAATATATGATTTATGTCATTCACAAATTTAACATGAAAAAGTATGTTTTTTTTTTACAAATGTAGCTGTCATTTGATGGAATTTCATCCAATTAAGACCATTGTTAGCATGGACAGGTTGTGCGACTTGAGTTCATTAAAAAATAAAAATAAAATACAACCCAGACAACATTGAATACAGGTTCACTTTCAGCGAGAAATATATGATTTATGTCATTCACAAATTTAACATGAAAAAGTATGAAATATAAGGTGGGAAATAAAATTAGGAATTATATTTCAGTATATTATCTTGCAAAACCTTTGCGTTCCCCTAAGAATCTTTGGATTCTTCCAAGTAATTTGAATATATAATTTATTAAAATATAATTTTTAAAGTTTAAATATAATTGGTTATACTTTACAGTAGGGTTGGAACGATATACAGGTATGACGGTTTATCACGGTTTGAACGTGCACGGCTATCATACCGTAAATATTTGCATATCTACGGTTTAAAAAAAAAAAGTAATAAAAAAAAATCTCACCCACACACATATGCAACTTATTTCCGCTCGGCTGCTTCACTCTGCATTCACTTGGCTGCTTACACGTACGTGCAGCGGAGAAAATGACAGAGACCGAGATAATATCTAGTAATATCCATCCCTGTTGAAAAAAAAGTTAAAATCTGCAGTATAGGAATACTTCAAATATTTAAAAAAAAAACGAACGTGGAGTTGTCCTTGAGGACGGATCCAATTTGCAAAAAATGTGGACGCAAAGTGGCTGCAAAAGCAGGCAATACATCCAACATCTTCGCTCATATTTGCGGACACCATCCCTCTGTGCAGATGAAGGTGTGTCGCATTAATAACAAGTTATAAGTTAAGGCAGTATGATTTCCGTGTAGCAGATGGAATCCCGGTGTAGTCGTGAACATGGAGTTTACAGTATAACGAGGATGTCACGTAAAACAAGCTGATCTGATGGATGGATAAATCAAAAGTAGATATGATATGTGTCTGGGAATATTTATGCGCAAAGAGACTGCTATATAAATAATCTGCTTGTTTCTGCATGTCTCTGAGTGGCGCAGTTTTATCTACTGCATACATTTGATTTAATTTGAAATTATGACAGAAATATATTAGCATTGTACAATGTACTTCAAAGTTATAATAACAACAATAATAATATTGTTTATAATGAAATAATTTATTCAAACATTGTTTTCAAGGAATGTTTGTCCATGTTTTAACTTTGCCAAAAATAAAAGTTGTAAATTTTCATTTCATAACATTTTAAAACATTCATTAAAATGTTAAAGTGTCATATAGATATACATAAGGTGTACAGCTTTATTTTGTTTATTGTTTTTTAAACTTATTTATTTATTTTTTCACAAGGCAGACTTCAATACTTTCATTAAAATGGTTTCAAGTTTGTTGTAATAAAGGATTTGTTCCCTCAAATAACTTGTTCTTGTTCTTTTAAGTCATTGTTACTGAAAATAATTATTGTTTAATACATACCGTGAAACCGTGATTTTCTGAGACAATTATCATACCATGAAAATATCATACCGTTACAACCCTACTTTACAGTAAGGTCTAATTTGTTAACATACATTAGTTAACATGAGCTGACAATGACCAATATGTTTATTTAATATAGCAATTAGGGTTGTGACGGTGAGGAAATTTTCCCACCGGTTAATCAACATGTG